GTTACTTCACTTTTCCGAGCCTCCGTTTCCTCTTTTTTTTTTTTTTTGAGACGGAGTGCCTCTCTGTCGCCCAGCCTGGAGTGCAATGGGGCAATCTCGGCTCACTGCTGCCTCCGCCTCCTGCGTTCAAGCAATTCTCCTGCCTCAGCCTCCCGAGTAGCTGGGATTACAGGTGCACGCCCCCACGCCCTGGTAATTTTTGTATTTTTAGTAGAGACCGGGTTTCACCATGTCGGCCAGGCTGGTCTCGAACTCCCAACCTCAGGTGATCTGCCTGCCTCAGCCTCCCAAAACGCTGGGATTATAGACATGAACCACTGCACCCGGCCTCTTTTTTTTTTTTTTTTTAAACATATCTTTTATTTTTTGTAGAGATGAGGACTTCCTGTGTTGCCCAGGCTGGTCCTAACCTCCTGGGCTCTAGAGATCCTCCTGCCTTGGCCTCCCAGAGTGCTGGGATTACAGGCATGAGCCACCACACCCACCCTGTCAGCTAGTTAATGAGAGGACAAAGGAACCCAGAATGCTGGTTCTAAAAGTTTGGCTATACCGAATATTAACACTTTGTTCACCTTGGCATTTGGTTTGGGGACCCTCCCCAAACCCGGGTATCTGTGACCTTACCAGTGAAAGCCAATTATCATCTTGATTTCCATAAGATAAATTAGCATCTATGTTCCTCAGGCACTTAATTTTTTCAAGTCTTTCTTTTAATTTTGGAAGTGATTTTCTTCTCTTTTCTATTTTTTTTTTTTTTTTTTTGGGAGGTGGAGTCTCACTTTGTCGCTCAGTCTGGAGTGGTACAGGGGTGTGATCCCAGCTCACTGCAGCCTCCACCCAGGCCCAAGCGATCCTCCCACCTCAGCCTCCTGAGTCGCTGGGACCACAGGCATGCACCACCATTCCCAGGTGAGTTTTGTATTTTTTGTAGAGACGGGGTTTCACTGTTGTTGCCCGGGCTGGTCTCGAACTCCTGGGCTCCAGCCATCCTCCTGCTTCAGTCCCCCAGAATGCCGGATTCTAGGCGTGAGCCACTGTGCCTGGCCCAGAAGTTAGTTTTCTTACAGAAGCAAAAGCTTTAATGCATTTTACCGAATTCTTATAGCTTTGTAGATACTGAAAAGTGTATGAGCGTCACATACAGACACGTCTAACAGCACTGCCTCCAACCAGCCCTACCCACTGGTCAGGTGAGTAGAATCAGTATTCTTTTCTGTGAGTGGAATGGAAATCTCGTCTCTCCTCCTTAGGCAAGCAGTTAAGAGGCTGGTGGGAGTCATGGCCCCATTTTGCTCAAAATACAAGCTCCACAGGAACAAAAGGCTGAACTGCTCACCTCCCAACTGATGAACCTCGCCTTTGTTCCATGTCAAAGGGGCCTTTGTGTTGATGCAGCGGAAACTCCAGCTCTCAAACCACCAGGTACCAAAAGTAAAACTCCTTTCTCTAAAAAGACCTATCTTTACCTGAGTCTGTCAGTGCATCTCTGCCCCCAGATAATGCTGGATGAGATAATCCCCAGAGGAAGACCAGTGCTTGGCTAGTGAAATTATACTATGAGACAAGGTTAAAAGACCTCAGAGAGGGGGTTGGAAGGTAAGGGAGTAGGGGGCAGCAGCCTCTGGAAAGAAGAATTAATATTTGACAAAATTGTAACCCTCTGACGGCCGTGATTCATGAAGTGCAAAAAGAAAATGCAGAACTTTATACAAATCACGATCTCATTTTCATTTTAATGTTAAAGGCATGCCTATATATTTAATGGGTTAGAATGCAGAAGCAGAAAGAGGACCCACCAAACTATTAATCATCTTTGTCACATTTTTGCAATTAACTAATTTTTTATAACAACAAGCATTAATATCTGGAATAAAAAATAAAAATTGTTAAAAAAAAAAAAAAAAGAATAAAATTGGGGCCTGCCGTATTTACCTTACTTCCTTTGGTGGTAAAGGGTCAAACTCCACTCCTTCGCCAAAGGACAGGGGACACAGCCTCAGCACACAGCCGGGAGTCAGGGGGAGAGACGCTGGACTCTTCAAGGACAGAGAAGAATGCAGTCAGAGCCATTTCTTTTTTTTTTTTTTTTTTGAGACGGAGTCTCGCTCTGTCGCCCAGGCTGGAGTACAATGGCACCATCTCAGCTAAATGCAACCTCTGCCTCCCAGGTTCAAGCAATTCCCCTGCCTCAGCCTCCTGAGTAGCTGGAATTACAGCCATGTGCCACCACGCTTGGCCAATTGTTTTGTATTTTTAATAGAGACGGGGTTTCCTCATGTTGGCCAGGCTGGTCTCGAACTCCTGACCTCAGATGATCTGCCCGCCTCAGCCTCCCAAAATGCTGGGATTACAGGAATGAGCCACCGTGCCCGGCCCCCACAGGCTATTTCTTAGCATCGCCCACAGAAGGCTGTGGCTCTGAGCCTCCAGCTGATGGGCCCAACTGGGATCTGTGTCCCCGGTGCTGGGCACACACAGAGAAACGCTGTGACAGGGAGCCGAGAGGTCTGGGTTCAAATCCCAGGTTGACCACGACTGTGCCATGTGCCTTCAGAGGAGTCACATCATATGCCCTGTGACTTTATCAGCACAGCAAGGCGGACGCCCCCTTTCACTGCTAAGGTTGTGTGAACAGCTGCAAAGAGGAAACGAACGTGAGCCAGACCGCTACCCCTCGCCTTGCGGTGACAAACCTGGGTGAGCAGAGGCTCACCTCACCCGAATCCTCCATTCTGTAGCACTCCCTCTGTCCCTGTCTCAGCAAGACTCTAGGAAAGGTAAAATATATATATATATATCTCTATATATGCTGCCAGGGAATTTTTTGTTTTTTAACTAAAGATTCAATCTGGCCAAGCACCGTGGCTCACACCTGTAATCCCAGCATTTTGGGAGGTGGAGGTAGGAGGATCCCTTGAGCCCAGGAGTTTGAGACCAGCCTGGACAACATGGCAAGACCCCATCTCCACAAAAAATACAACAATTAGTTGGGCGTGGTGGTACACGCCTATAGTCTCAGCTACTCAGGGGGCTTAGGTGGGAGGATGGTTTGAGCCCAGGAGGTCAAGGCTGCAGTGAGCTGAGATCACCACTACACTCCAGTCTGGGCAACAGAGCGGGCAGAGCAGGAGACTCTGTCTTTAAAGAAAAAACTTTCATTGGTAAGGTAGACACCAGGCTGGGCACAGTGGCTCACACCTGTAATCCCAGCACTTTGGGAAGCCAAGGCAGGTGGATCACCCAAGGTCAGGAGTTTGACACCAGCCTGGCCAACATGGTGAAACCCCATCTCTACTAAAAATACAAAAATGAGCCAGGCGTGGTGCTGTGTGCCTGAAGTCCCAGCTACTGGGGAGACTGAGGTAAGAGAATCGCTTGAACCCAGGAGACAGAGGTTGCAGTGAGCCGAGATCGTGCCACTGCACTCCAGCCTGGGAGACAGAGTAGGACTCCGTGTGGGAAAAAAAACAATAGAGACAGGCAGACACCGAATGTTCTCCGTCACCCTCCGCTATCCAGAGCACTCAGTGAACCAGAGCACAGCAGTGCCTCTACCCCGCCAGTGCATGGGATGCTCTGATTAACCAAGAAGGCTCACTGGAAGGCAGTTGCATACTAGACACGGTGCTGGTTTTCACCCAGTTTGCAGGATCAGGGCTTCTGTGTTAAGCGTGCAAAGATAAACACAGTGCGGAGTCTGAACTCAGAAGCCCTTTATGTTCCCCGGTTTACTTGGGATCTATCATTTTCTTTGCCTAATTTGAGAGAAGGATGTACATTTGCAACAGGGCGTGGAGTTAGCGGCCCCACCCCCACATCTCCCAGGGCAGAGAAGGAGGCAAACGCTTCTATCATGAGACCAGGACAAGGTGTGTCAAGTGGGGGCATGGGGTGGAAATGTGAAAGCCAAAGGGGACCAGGATGGAGACACAAAGGGTCCTGAGGGTCCAGGTCCCGGACCTGGGTGGAGGCTTAGCAAGGCCGGGATGGAGACACAGAGGGACCTGGGGGTCCAGGTCCTGGACCTTGGTGGAGGTTTAGCAAGGCCAGGCTAGAGGAGGCGGGGTGGGTGGGAGCCAAGGTCAGTGAATTGTGTGTGTGTGTGTTGGTGGGGGGCAGGGGGAGTAGGGTACATAAGGTGTGGACACTGGCTTCTGCAAACAGCCCCCAAATAGTGACAGTGGGCCCTGCTTTGCCCCCGGTTCTCTGGCTGCCAGACCCTGCCCAACAGAAGGGGGCACCTCCCAGGTATCCCCATGAGAAGGCTGGTGATCTCTGAACCCCCCACCGCCTTCTTCCAGGCATCTACATGAGCACTCGGTTCTGTGCCTTCTCTGCTCTTCCATCCCCGCCCACCCGACAGACCCTCCCTGAGCACGGCCCTTGCTCCAGGCTAAGGCTGGGGCGATGTGGGGCAGCAGAGGTTATAACAGACACATGAATGAAGGGCCACTGGAACGGGGATGTAGCCGTGGGCTCTGGCCCTGGGAAGCAGCAAGAAGGCCTCCCAGAGGAGGTGACGTGAGCTGGGCGTTGGGGGGCCAGCAGGACACCTGGGAGAGGTAAGAGGCCCTGGGCATGCGGGTGGAGGGCGGCCGCAGAAACGCTGCTGTGGTGTGTGTGTCCGGCCTGCGGCCAGGGCAGGTGGAAGACAAGGCCAGATGGGGCCAGAGGGGAGGACACTGAAGGCCAAGTTGAAGCCAGCCCCGCCTTGGGATGGCAATGAGGAAACTGCCCTGATGCCCACCGGGAGACAGGGTGGGAGGGGCGAGACCACCAGTACCACCGGGGCTCCCATGGGGATCCCTAGGGACAGCAGCGGCCGCCGCCGACTTCACCCGGGGGAGGCGGCTGGATGTCCCCATCCCCGGGGGGCGGGGCCGGGCTGCAGCCCGACTTCCAGCTTTTCTGAGACTGCGGGCAGGATGTGGCTTCCGCAGACTTCTAAGTAAAGGCAGCAAACACCAACATCTGAGCGACTCCCAAGGCAAAAGATTAGGTGGAGTTTTTTCTTTAAATGAACATTTTAAAGTAAAGTAAACGGATTACTCTGTAGAAGTTTCCACCCACCTAAAGGCCTCCCAGCCGTTTTGTGCGGGACCCGGTTCCCGGTGTTCAGGCCAAGAGGGGGCCCCGGGAGGCCGCAGGCTGGGCAGGGACCTTCTCTAAAGGTCGGGAAGGCTCTGGCCCCTTTGCTCTGGGATGCGGAGCCCGGGGCACACCCGCTCCGGGGCCGGCTGGGAGGAGGCGAGCAGCCCCGTGGGAGCCCAAAGCCGCGGGGTGTCGGGCCGGAGTCCGGGGGGCCGGGGTTCCCTCCAGGCGCCCCCCGCCCGGCAAAGGCAGGAATGTGGCCGCGCCGCAGCCTGGCAGCCCCGGGGGCCGCCACCCCGAAGGGATGAGACGGCGGCTCGCCGCTCCCGGGGCTCCCGCGCCTCCCAGGCGATGCCAATTTTCCAGCCACCGGCTCCAGCTGGCCAGGCTCGCGGCGCTCCCGCCCCGGGCTCCCGGCGATGGCCGCCCCGTCCCGACACCGCGCCCGGGGGCAGGAGCCGCTGCGCTCGGAGGGAAGGAGCCCGCGCGGGGCCACTCACCTGAGCCGCGGGGGTCGCCGCCGCGTCCGGCTCCAGCGCCCCCGGTGCCGGCGCGCGCTCCCCGCCGCCTCCGCCGCCCCCGGCCGCCGCGAGCCCCCAGTGGCTGGGGCTGGGGCTGGGGGGCAGCCCCGAGTCCGGGCTGTCCAGGGCGCCGTCGCCCTTCTTCTTCGCGTCCACGAGCTCGGGCACATCCTGCAGGCTCAGCCGGCCCACCATGGCGGCACGCAAGGGGGGCCCCAGGCACCGGCGCCGGGGTCGCGGGACAGCGAGGGGCGCAGACGCGGGCCGGGGCCGCTGCCCTCCCGGCCGCCCTCCCTGCCCCGCAGCCCGCGCGCCTCCGGGGTCTCGCCGCTGCCGGCCCCGGCCTAGGCCCCGCCCCGCCCCCGGCCCCGCCCCCCTGCCCGCCCCCTGCCCGCCCCCTGCCCGCCCCCGCCCGGCAGGCCCCGCCCTCTGGCTCCCGGCCCGGCCTAGGCCCCGCCCCCGCCCGGCAGGCCCCGCCCTCTGGCTCCTGGCCCCGCCCCCAGAGGCCCATCCACGCGCGCTGGGGACGCCGAGCGCTGAAGCCCCCAGCCCGGTCTGGCCCCCGGCGCGCTGCAGGTGGACGCGGGGACCCGCTCGCGCCGGGGCTCTGGGGGCGCGTTGACCGCTCGGCCTGTCCCAGCGGGACCCGGGAGGCGCTAACAGCTTCCGACTGGCGGTCGGGGGAGCCAGACGGAGCAGGATCCCACCCCGCAGAGGCCTGGGGAGCCGGGCGAAGCCAGCGAGCAAACAGCTGGAAAGTATTAACAGTTAATGCGCTTCGCATGGCCGCAGCCGCCTGTCGGCCCGGGGAGGCGGGCTCCGGAGAAAGGCTTGTCCTCAGGGGCTCCGCAGCGCGGGTCACCCCGGTGCGCGGCTGGACAGGCCGTGGCCGCACAGGACACGCAGGGCAGAGACCCGCGGCCGGCGCAGACTCGTGGACAAGCTCGGCAGGTGGACCGCGGGCTGCCTCAGGGGCCGCCGGCCGCCCAGTGGGGACCACAGGTTTTCCCTCCCAGGGGCTAACCGCGCTGCGCACCCCACCCGGGAGAATCCCTTCCGCAAAACAGACAGCACCTCTCCCCAGCCCTTCGGCTTGACAACGAAGCCTTATCCTGAGTGGGAACCCGTCTCCGTAGCTGCGGGGTGTAGGGCTGGGCTGTTCCCAAATCCAGTGCCTTTTCTCACAGGTCTCCGAGGTCAGCAGAAAGTGCGGGGGTCCCCGCTCCACCAGCAGGCCTCCCCTGGGGGTGCTGCTGGGTGTTCAGCAAGGGCCTGGAGCTGGAACCTCACCCAGACCTACAGGACCGCTCAGAAGAGGAGTCACACCCTGCACGTCCCTGGCTGAGACCGTGGCAGCCCAGTCCACATCCTTGCAAAGATGAAGGGTATTTGTCCTGCTTGGGACAGATCTGTTAAACTCAGAAACTCAGAGCAGGTAGATCTTAGAGACCCGCTGGCCGAGTTCCCTCCACTTACGTCCCTTACCTGTCACTTTCATGTAAGGAAACAGAGAGGGATTTCACTTGCCCTAAGTCACACAGCCAGCATCATCCTCCACAGAAGGTAAATCCTGGCACACACCTGTGTGCTGGGAGGTGGTTCATTCATTCAGGGTCTGCGGGAATAAATGACAAAATCCACAGTGCACAGTCCTGGCCAAATGGGCAGTGCGAGTGTCACCAGGAAGGGGTCGTGATCCAGACCCCCAGAGAGCATTCTCGGATCCGGCGCAAGAAAGAATTCAGGGCGAGTCCATACAGTGAAAGCAAGTTTATTAGGAAAGTAAAGGAACAAAAGAATGGCTACTCCTTAGAGCAACCCTGACGGCGGCTGGTTGCCCATTTTTATGGTTATTTCTTGAGGATATGCTAAATAAGGGATGGGCTATTCATGCCTCACGTTTTTAGACCATCTAGGGTAACTTCCGGCCCTTGCCATGGCATTTGTAAAGTCTCACAGAGCTGGTGGGAGTGTAGCAGTGAGGACGACCAGAGGCCACTCTCGTGGCCATCTTGGTGTTGGTGGGTTTCGGCCGGTTTCTTTACTGCGGACTGTTTTATCAGCAAGGTCTTTATGACCTGTATCTTGTGCCGACCTCCTATCTCATCCTGCGACTTAGGATGCCTTAACCGTCCGGGAAGGCAGCCCAGTAGATCTCAGCCTCATTTTACCCAGCTCCTTTTCAAGATGGAGTCACTCCCGTTCACAGGCCTCTGACGCAAGGACGCAGCTGTACCTCCTACCCCTTTGGATCCCACCATCTGCACAGCCAGGTGGCATCAGAGGAGGAATCTCAGTGCTTTCTGGGGTTGTAGAAACACGGTTTGTTGGTAGTGGGAGACCTGGACTCACTGGAGGGAATTTGCCCACCAAGCATGAAAACCTGGTTAGATTGGGAAAGGTGTCCGGGAAGACGGCGGTCCTGAGGTTGTCCTCTGGGTTCAGGAAGCCAGATCTACTAAAAGGGCTTGCCAAGGTGCCACCCTGGCACTGAGGAGAGGTTCCTGTCACCCAGCATGACCTCCTTTTTTTTTTGAGACAGAGTCTCGCTCTGTCGCCCAGGCTGGAGTGCAGTGGCCTGATCTCAACTCACTGCAAGCTCTGCCTCCCGGGTTCACACCATTCTCCTGCCTCAGCCTCCTGAGTAGCTGGGACTACAGGCGCCCGCCACCACGCCCGGCTAATTTTTTTTTTTTTTTTTTTTTTTTGTATTTTTAGTAGAGACGGGGTTTTACTCTGTTAGCCAGGATGGTCTTGATCTCCTGACCTCGTGATCCACCCGCCTCGGCCTCCCAAAGTGCTGGGATTACAGGCGTGAGCCACCGGACCCGAATTTTTTTTTTTTTTTTTTTTTTAAGACAGAGTCACACTCTGTCACCCAGGCTGGAGTGCAGTGGTGTGATCTCGGCTCACTGCACCTCCGCCTCCTTAAATCTGGGTTGAACTCCTGGATTCAAGCGATTCTTCTGCCTCAGTCTCCCCAGTAGCTGGGACTACAGGCGTGTACCACCACACCTGGCTATTTTGTATTTTTTGTAGAGATGAGGTTTTGCCATGTTTGTCAGGCTGGTCTTGAACTCCTGACCTCAAGCGATCTACCCCTCTCCCCGCTTGGCCTCCCAAAGTGTTGGGATTACAGGAGCGAGCCACCGCACCCAGCCTTCCTTCTTTACAGATATGCTGACACACAAGAAATCAGAGGGGCTTGGAGAGAATCCAGCCCCAGGACTGACACTGATGGAGAAGCTGAGGTGGAGACCAGGGTCCCATATGCAGATTCCCCCAAACCCTTCAGCCGCCACCCCACCAATAAGCTGCACCAAACACTGACACCCCTCATGGCTCCCAGAGTTCTGTGCAGGCAATCAAAATACACTGAGGAGGGGACCAGGCCCGGTGGCTCACGTCTGTCATCCCAGCACTTTGGGAGGCTAAGGCAAGTGGATCACCTGAGGTCCAGAGTTCGAGACTGGCCTGGCCAACATGATGAAACCCCGTCTCTACTAAAAATACAAAAATTAGCTGGGTGTGGTGGCGGGCGCCTGTAATCCCAGCTACTCGGGAGGCTGAGGCAGGAGAGTCGCTTGAACCTGGGAGGTGGAGGTTGCAGTGAGCCAAGGTCATGCCCCTGTCTTTAAAGAGCTCAAAGAGAAGCCTAAGCCAACTGGAAGCGACATGAGGGGAACTCAGAGAGCACCCGTGGCCTGGCTGAGGCATCTTCTTGAACTCCTCGTATTCCAACCTGCCTGAGAGTCCTTCTGGGTGGGAGAGAAGGCGATTTTCTTTGTGCTTACATAAGTGCATGTGGCTCAGCCCCTGGAAGTAAGGAATGTTTCCATAGTCCTGAGCAGTGAGTCCACACGGCTAATCTGCTTTGGATTTTCGGAAGGGCCTCGCTACCGGGCGCACCATCACCCTGCGTCTTATCTAGACGTTTTCCAAAGGACATTGCTTAAAGAAACTCAAATCACATCCTGGGAAAGGCAGCCCATTCTACCTTTACCAGCTCTGAAGACAGGCCTGCTTTTGAATAACAGCTGGGATATACCTAGAAATCAGGGGCAAGTCAGACAAAACGAACAGGCCCCAGGAGACCAGGGGCTTGCGCAAGACAGGTCTCTTCTCAAAGCTGTCCTTCCAGAGCGGGGCCCTCAGCCCTCCGCCTGGGTCACGGAGATGCGGTGTCCTCAGAGGACTTGGCTTCTGGCCCGAGGCCTCTCCCGGCAGGGTCTGAGAAACAAAAGCTGCCTCACCATGAATGCCAGTCCTGCGTTTTTGTTTTTTTCTGCACTAAATTAAGCCACTGCCCGAATGGGAGTTAACTCAGACAGGAAGAGGGCAGAACCCCCACACCGCTGCTGTGTACTATTTCGGAACAGCTTGTCGTCAGTAAGCCCCGCCAGACAGTGAATTAAACACACCCTGGGCCCCGCATGCTGGCTGCTGCCCCGTGCCCGACACCTTCCCGCTCCCAGTCCCCAGGTCTTGGGTTGTCCTGTGGCTCATGATGTGTGGATTTGCCTGCTGTTGAACCAGGTCTTCTCTTCCTTCATACGCATCAGTCAACCCAAATGCTTTTTGAAAAATAGAACTTTACAGCTGGGCATGGTGGCTCAGGCCTGTCATCTCAGCACTTTGGGAAGTCGAGGGGCGGAGATTGCTTCATCCCAGGAGTTTGAGACCAGCCTGGGCAACATAGTGAGTTCCCAACTCTATTTTTTTTTTTTTTTTTTTTGAGACGGGGTCTCTCTGTGTCACACAGGCTGGAGTGCAGTGGCACGATCATAGCTCATTGCAGCCTTGAACTGGGCTCAAGCAAGCCTCGCACTGCTGCCTCCTGAGTTGCTGGGACCACTGGAGTTCACCCCCCACCCACCCAGCTGTAAAGCTCTACTTTTATAATTTATGTTTATATTTTTATTGCTCTATTTTCATAATTTATAATTTTTTTAACATTTATTTCTATCTTTGTAGAGACAGGGTCTTACCATCTTGTCCAGGCTGGTCTTGAACTCCTGGGCTCAAGCCATCCTCCTGCCTCGGCCTCCCAAAGTGCCAGGATCACAGGTGTGAGCACCGCGTCCAGCCATCTACAAAATTTTTGTTAAAATTAGCCTGGCATGGTGGCATGTATCTGTCGAGTCTCAGATTCTCAGGAGGATGAGCTCAGATTCTCAGGAGGGTGAACTCAGATTCTCAGGAGGGTGAGGTGGGTGGCAGGTACCTGTGGGCTCATATTCTCAGGAAGGTGAGCTCAGATTCTCAGGCGGGTGAGGTGGGAGAATCACTTGAGCCCAGGTCAAGGCTGCAATGAGCTATGATCACGCTATTGCACTTCTGGGT